TTTTAATTACTGATCTGACAGAAGTACCTTGTAACGTCAAATAAAATATTACTAACAAATTTTTCAAAAGCTTTATTCAAATATTTAACATCTTAATTATTTAAATGAATGTGAAATGTGCAGTTGATATTGTTTGAAATATTAATACTTCTGTTTTTTAAATCAGATGAAATGATGTTCAAATTAATACATTTGACATTTTCTGAAGATAAGCAAGCACAACTCGTTCATCTGTATTTGTTACCTTTTGCTCTTCCATCCTTTGATGAACTTGTCGTATTCTTTTCCATAAGCGATTTTTGCGGTATTAATCGCGATTTCCATTTTTTGTAGTATAATTATTCGTGGATAACTGGTCTTTAAAACACTTGCTCTATTTCGAGCACTCCGGCTGCGCCGTCGTGCTCGAAAAATTGCACGTGTTTTAAAGACCTTAAAATCCACTTATACTTTAATATACTGTACTGTAATATCTTCATAATCGAGAATAATTTCGACTTTTGATAGGTACCTATACATTTTTTGTGTAGAATAAAATTCTCTACCTATTTCTGATAGCTCCGTGTAAAAATTTAAACGTACAAAAAAGTTACAGAAGAATATTCACAAAAGGTTGTAGTAAATTGAACGATTTGTATGATTTAATAAATTGGAACATAATCACTGGAGAGAAACAGCAAATTCTGCTCAAATCGGTTAACAACAAGAAATAAAAAAAGAAACTTTAACACCCTGTAACTTTTTTGCCACATTTTTCATTTAAGCGAGTTTGGTTAAATCGACACCAATTGGGCTCTGAATTATACCCTTGACGAATGTACCATTCGTTAGGTGACACCTTGTATAAGATGTTGGATATTTTGTGCTGTATTGACTTTTATACTGTTATGACCTCTAATAGATATTTTGAAAGCGTTCAGAGCCGTACTCAGGAAAAATTTTAAATGATGACTAAAACAAGCTAAAAAACTTTTTGAAGCGATTACAATAGTAATATCATCTAATTCAGAATTAAAAATGACTTTAGATTTTGTCATAAAAATAGCAGCGACGTATTTAAAAATATTAACCTGATGATGGTCCCTCGAAGACGAAACGTCGGATTGCAAAACCGTTGGCGCCATTGGCTACAGCGAAAAAGTGGCAATGTAAATACGCAGTTTATTTTAAAATTCGTTTTCAAATAAAGCCAGAAAAAAAATAAAACGATTTTGCAAAATTTCGGGGTTTTCCGGATATCTCCTGAACTACCCGGAATTTTAAAACTTTCTAAACGGCATATTGTTAGGTATAAAATAACACAACTTTTTTCTAATTTGGGCCACCCCGTATCTCTTACCGTTTCCTAAATCCTAATGCTATCCCATCCTTATCTTGGACACGCTGTATTTCGTATTCAATAAACAAACTTTTACTATTTTGCATAGTACCATCAGTACGTTCTAAACTGTGAATCATCCTGTAGATTAGCTTTGTTATATAACAACCGATCATAAAGTCCTTGAAAATGGAAAAAATGTTGCTCTTAAATTTTTCTGTTTTGACACCAAATATCGGTTCTGAAAGTTATATCCTGTATTTATGTCTCTTGTGTGGTCATGATGTTTTTCATTTAAGAGTCTACTATCCTTTGTCATGCTCAAAGTTGACCACGAGTTGCAGTAAAGCTTATTCTAAAACTAAAGGAAAAAATATAATACCTGTAATAATAGTTATAACGAGCGTTCAAATAAAAACGTGGTCGAAGTTGGCTCTGACACATTGGACGTAGGGAGTAGCTTATAGCGACCAACTTAACCTCATTTCTCAACGAGCTGTATAGCAGCTGTCAGTTTCAATAACGTTAATGACTATATAACTTTATTTTAAAGAATAATCGTGATAACAATAACAAACAATTAAAGGAGCTGCGGAAAGTGTCCCCCTCCTTGTTATAACAATAAATTAAAGCAGCTGCTGAAAGTGTCCCCCTCCTTGTTCCAAGCACTTTTCACACCTGTTCCTCAAAGAATTAAAGACATTTTCTAAGATGCTCGGGGTATTGTTAATTTCACGAATCTTGTCTATAAGTCGAGCCTGCAGATGGTTTAAATCAGGAATAGGCAGTTCAAAAATAGTGTTTTTAAGGTAAGGCCACAAAAAGAAATCACACGGCGTAATATCACATGACCTCGGTGGAAATTC